TCCGTGTAAAACAGTCTATAAGCGGGTGGCACTGTGGGTTAAACCACAGAGCCTAGGATTTGCCAATCAGAAGGTTGGCGGTTCGAATCCCTGCGACAGGGTGAGCTCCCGTTGCTTCGTCCCTGCTCCTGCCAACCTAGCAGTTCGAAAGCACGTCAAAGTGCAAGTAGATAAATAGGTACCACTCTGGCGGGAAAGTAAACGGCGTTTCTGTGCGCTGCTCTGGTTCGCCAGAAGCGGCTTAGTCATGCTGGCCACATGACCCGGAAGCTGTGCGCTGGCTCCCTCGGCCAGTAAAGCGAGATGAGCGCCACAACCCCAGAGTCGGTCATGACTGGACCTAATGGTCAGGGGTCCCTTTACCTTTAAAACAGTCCCGTGCCGTCACAGCTGATGCCCTCAAGATTGCCAAGAATAGTACATTTCAGCCATCAAAGGCCTGGATGAACAGGAATGCTTTTAGAATCATAGAATTGTAGAGTTGGAAGGGATCCCAGCGGGTCATCTAGTCCAACCCCCTGCAAATCTTGCAAATCTAGCTCAACCCCTGAATGATGATGATGATGATTTGATTTCTCATCAACACTTCACTGCATGTTCCCACTGTTGTTGTTTTTAAACAATATTAAAAACAGTTTAAAACAATCGGGAGAGAAGGAGATACACCCCACCAGGGAGGGCATCCCACAAATGAGAACCTGCCACCAAGAAGGCCCTGTCATGGCTCAAGGGCAGCAAAACAGCCCCAGTGGCGTTACTAACAGAGCCTGAGATGGTTGTTATTGGGGAACTGTGCCCTTGGGTACGCAGGTCCCAAGTTATTTCAGGCTTTGTGTACTAGAACTAGCACCTTGAATTAGGCTCAGCAGCTCAGTTTCTCCACCGGCAGTTTCCTGTTTCTGTGCTGGCAGGAAGGGGACCCTCCAGGAGTACGCAAGCATCACCAGCCTGGTGCAGGAGGAGATGGTGACGGTACACCAAGCCATGGGCAGAGCCATTGAGCGCCTCCGCCCGGACGTGGAATATGAAGGATTCATCCCCAGTGGCAGGTAGCGCCTGCTGTGATTCCTCTGAGAATTTCTGGGTGGCTGGATTTCCCAGCCAGCAGCCTCTGCCACCTTCTTCTGGTCCATCCCTCTCCAGGTGTGGGAACGAGGCCCCTGCTGTTGGTGACCTTTGACACGAGCCTGCTGGAGGAGATGGAGACAGAGGGCCTGAAAGCCGGGGAAGCTCCAGCTGAATGAGCTGACACTGGGAAAGCATGCAGCACACGTGCGTTTGGGGGCAGTGTTAGAAATTAGCCAGGCGCGTTTTGCTAGTGGCACAGGTTCCAGTTGTGACTATGTGGATGATTTATGGGCGCCAGGTTGGCAACCACAGTTTAAAAACCTCTGCCTTAGCCCATAGTTAATTCCATTTCCACTGTGTGTGTTTCTCCTTCCTGCATACGGGGACAAGTGAATTGCTATAAGAGCAAAGCTGTAGTCAAGCAATGAAGTTGAGGCAGTGCCAGATTTACTTATAAGCTGAACAAGCTATAGCTTAGGGCCCCAACCCTCTTGGCCCCCCCCCAAATATTTTAAGGGAATAAACTGATGTACATTTCCCAAAATACCAAGATAAAAAACAAATGAAATGGCTTTAGATACCTATTAGGTCCATAAATTACCATATAGCATTTATTCAGCCACAAAAAAACAGTGACAGTTTGTTGTTGACAAAGGACAGCTGGAGATATAAAGGGCATCATTACCTTCAGTAGCTTAGGGCCTCATCAAACCTAAATCTGGCCCTGAGTTGAGAGGCATAGAAGGGAACCCAAGGGTCATCTAGTACAACCCCCTGGCAAATAGATATTCCGTTGTGGTGACCACAACCTAGTTTAAGGTGCCACTTGGTGAATAGCTTACATATCTGAGTTTCCAATACTGGTTGGGGGAGTGAGGGTGGGTTTTGCAAGGCTCAGTCCTAACCACTGAAAGCAAGGGCAGCGTCCCCACTGCTGCAGTGCCAGAGGGGAGAAGCTGTGCCTGTAGAAATTTTCCTTCCCTTTCTCCTGTCAAAAAGGGCGCAAGAGGTCCATCTCTGGGGAGATCCACTCCAGCCTCATGGAGCACAGATCAGGGCTCAGCACTTTGGGTGGGAGAGAAGAGGCTAATGATTTGGGCAGGTGGGGCAAAGATGGAGCTCTGGCTCAGCCAGCCTCCTTCTTTTCTGTGCTCTGGGTGTTTCTCTTGCCTTTCTGAGAGCCCAGAAGACAGAGATGTTCTGCTAAGAAGCAGCTGCGATAGCTCAGTCGGCAGAGCGTAAGACTTTTAATCTCAGGGTTGCGAGTTCAAGCCCCATGTTGGACAAAAGATTCCTGCCTTTCAGGGGGTTGAACCTCGTGGTCCCTTCCCACCTACCATTCTATGGTTCTAATAATAATAATAATGTTTTTTTATTATTTATACCCCACCCATCTGGCTGGGTTTCCCCAGCCACTCTGGGTGGTTTCCAACAAAGTATTAAAATACAGTGGTCTGTTAAACATTAAAAGCTTCCCTAAAACAGGGCTGCCTTCAGATGTCTTCTAAAAGTCTGGTAGTTCTTCTCTTTGACATCTGGTGGGAGGGTGTTCCACAGGGCGGGTGCTACTACTGAGAAGGCCCTCTGCCTGGTTCCCTGTAACTTGGCTTCTCACAGTGAGGGAACTGCCAGAAGGCCCTCGGCGCTGGACCTCAGTGTCCAGGCAGAACGATGGAGGTGGAGACGCTCCTTCAGGTATACTAGGCTGAGGCCATTTAGGGCTTTAAAGGTCAGCACCAACACTTTGAATTGTGCTCGGAAATGTACTAGGAGCCAATGTAGATCTTTCTATGACCTGGAGGCAAGTTGCAGCCAGGCAGAACCCTCTGCGCCATTGGTTCCTGGGCTAGCTGAAGCCTCCATGCCTCTCTCCCGTTGCAGCCTCACCTCGCTGGAGGAGGAGCTGGCCAACGCCACAGAGAGCACCCAAGGTCACCAGCAGCGCACCCAGATTCTAAAGGCTGAAATCCAGAAGGAAAGAGGCAGCTGTGAGCCCTGGAGAACCGGTGAGGCTGGGTGCGAGGCCAAGGCCTTAGGCACTAAGGAAAGGGGCTGGCAGGAACTCTTTGGTGCCCTCCCAGTTTCAACTGCTCCACTGGGCATGGGTGTCTCTCCCTCCCACTTTTTTCTCCTGCAGGATCCTGCTCCTGGGGAAAGCGCCAGGCCTTGCATGAAGCCCAGCACCAAAGCCCACCTGGCCCAGGGCACGCAGGACAAGCTTCAGGCACAGCGGGATTTGCTGTGGCACAGGCTGGACAAGCTGGGAACCCGTGAGCCTCCGCCTGCTCCAGCCCTGCAGGAGGACAATCAATCGGTGTCGTCTGGGGTGCGTGGAGCCACTGTGGGTGCGATCACTGCAAGCCCATGGGGCAAGCTCCTTGCTGGGGAGTAGGAAGAGGGGGGTGTAGGGGTGCGGTTCGCCATGGGTGTCATCCTTGAGGGGGATGAAAAAATGGCACACCGCGGGAGTCGGCACTTACCATGGGGCGCTGGCCTACAGTGCACCCAAGCCACACGTCTCTCCTGGGAGTGACGCGGTGGCTCGGGGGCCCCACACTGCCCGAAATGGCAGCGTGGGGCTTGCGTCTGTCAGGTGGACTCCGTGGGCAGCTCGCCGCACCTCCCCCTGGGCAGATCGCCGCCCCACCCCCATGCAGCACCCCCGTGCGTGGATCACCCTGCCCCCACCGCTTCAGGTGCTGGAGCAGCTGGCTATGCTCCTGGCTCCTTGGCCTTTGGGGTGGGCAAACCTGGCAAACGTTTGACTTCTATCCCACCTTTCTTCCAAGGAGCTAAAGGTGGCATGTGTTCCCATTTTATCTTCACAACAACCCTGTGAGGTAGGTTAGGCTGAGGTGCAGTGACTGGCCACCCATCCAAGGAGAGAGGAGGTCTGAACTCTGGCCTCCCAGGTCCTAGCCTGATGCTCTAACCACTATGTCACACTGTCTCTAGCTTGGTTGAGCCCAGTGCGCAGCAGTCCACCCTGACCTTGACACTCGCTCTGTGCCTTCTTTCTTGGACAGGAGGCGGAGCGTGATGGGGGTCGGATCCCGGCCTTGGAGGTCCTGAAGCAACACTTCTCAGGCATCTTCCGACCACGTCTCACAGTGAGTGCCTTCCCACCCACTGATCCGCCCACCCACTCGTGTCCCTGCTCTTCCCTGCTTTCTGAATCGGCAGTGCCAAGGATGTGCTGGGAGCAACTGGGAGGAGTGGGGTGGGTGGAGGGACGCGGGTGGAGATGTTCCTCCACACGGTCTTCCTTCCTGGCCTTCTCTGCCTAAAAAGGGAGCTGCCACTGTGGCTGGCTGTGCCCACTCCCCCTCTCTCCATCTGCAGCTGCCGCCCCCAGTGCCCCTCCTGCCTGAGGTGCAGAAGCCCCTGGGCCAGCAAGCCTGGTACCACGGCGCCATCCCCCGCATGGAGGTGCAGAGGCTGCTGCAGGCCAGCGGAGACTTCCTGGTGCGCGAGAGCCAAGGCAAGCAGGAGTACGTCCTCTCAGTCTTGTGGGATGCTCAGCCTCGGCATTTCATCCTCCAATCTGCTGATGTGAGTGTTGTAAATGGGGTGGTGGTGCTGGGTGAAGTGGGCAGAGGAGAGAAAGAAGCAGGCAGGCAGCCATTCTAGCCCAAATGTAGCCGCTCCAGTTGTGGCTCTGGTTACGTGGTGCCCCTGCTATTACTTCCACCTGGAATCACAATCCATTCTTCAGTCAATTTTTGTAGAGAACCCAGATGACACTGTGACCATCCCAAAACATTCCTATGTTTTTGGGCTTGTACTCTAGTCTTTTTTTACACTCAATTTGTGGGATTTTTAAAGAAAACTTTGGGCTTTCTCCAGGCCACTGGCCTTTTAATTAATAGCTTCCTCCTTGGCCTTTTCATTTTTAGTGGTTTCTACTTCTAATCTTGTGCCCCTTTAATTAATTCTTTCTTGTTCACTTGCCCAACCAAGACATTCCTATAATTAGTTTCTGCCAGCTGTTTCCTGTAGAATGAGACTGTAACTGCTGGTTTCCTTTCTGCCGCTAGAGCAATTGCTTATCAACTTTTCACTTTAAAAAACCATTGCAACTGAACAATGAATGTGAATGAACAGGAAGAAATTAAGTCTCCTCTTGCCTGTGGTAGCTTTTAGCACAGTGGAGATTTATCAATTTATTTTTATTTCATAAAATGTATACACCGCTTGATTGTATACACCCCTCAAAGTGGTTTACAAGCACAATAAAACAAAGTTATTGGTAAAAACAATTAATATCAAAAAGATTAAATCAGCCATAAACTAAAAACAGATCAAAACATACATCAAACATTCAGCATTCTACATATCTGGATAGGCTTGTCTAAACAAAAATGCTTTTAGTAGGTGCTAAAGTACTATCTGATGTCAATAGGCAGGGAGTTTCAGAGTTTAAGTGCTGCCATGTTAAAAGATTGCATTGGAGATGCCAGAGCAGTGGTGTTTGCCTTAGGACTGTGCCAGAACTAAGACGGCTGCTCTTTGTGGGATTTCCCCTTAGAACATGTATCGCTTGGAGGGCGAAGCTTTTCCCACCATTCCGCTGCTGATTGACCATTTCCTGAAGACCAAACAGCCCATCACCAAAAAGAGTGGTGTTGTCTTGGGAAAGCCCATCATCAAGGTACTGCTCTCTGCCTCACCCTCTGCTGCCACTAGATTGGGCCAGGCTAAGGAAGGGAGGGTTGGGCTTGCAGAGTTCCCTGACCTGTGACTGAGTGGCTGCTCTTGCTGCAGGACAAGTGGGTGTTAGACCATGAAGACGTGCTGCTTGGGGAGCGCATCGGGGCAGGTGAGTGACTCCCTGGCAATGGTGGTGGCGGTGGAAGGCATGCTCTGGTTAGGCACCACCTTCAGGAGTCCCACTGTTGGACTCTTGACAAAAGCTGTGCGCTGTGGAGCAGCTGACTGCCTCTCCCCCTCAGCCTTCTTTTTGTTAAATGGGAATAATCCAGGTAAGAGAGGCAGAGCAGCAGCCTGCCTTCTGGAGGCCTGGCCAGGGGCAAGCCTCCCTGCTGCCCTGTTTGCTGAAGGGAAGCAGTCCAAACCATTTCACCCTTAGAGCCATGCCTTGGCTGGCTCACCACCCCCACAAGGACACTTTCTTCTGTGGTCCCTGGAGACACCCAGCTGTGTAGGTTTGCCGTGCAAACTGGATTCAGAAGCACTGGACCCTGCTGGCTGCACACCCAGGAAGCAGCAGGGGATGGAGTCTCTTCCCTGGACTAGATTTTGCAATCTGTTTCTGTGGGCAAAAGGGCAGGGAGAGGAAAGTAGTGCCACCTGTCTTCTTTCTCCAGGGCAACTTTGGAGAGGTGTTCAGTGGGCGCCTCCGCTGTGACAACACCCCGGTGGCTGTGAAGTCCTGCCGTGAAACTCTCCCGCCAGAGCTCAAGGCCCGATTCCTGCAAGAGGCCAGGTGTGTAGGAAGCAAACTCAGGGGCAACTGGGACAACATTGCCAGGCTCCTCCTGAGTCTGAGCAGGACACTCTGGGGCATGTTGTGGGGGCAGGATCTTCCCTCCCAACTCTTTGGAACAAATGTAGGAAGCTGCCTCTAGCTGAGTCCACCTGGCTCAGTGCTGTCAGCAGCTCTCCAGAGATTCAGGTAAGGATCTTTTCCCCCCAGGCCCTGCCCGGAAGTGTTGAGGGGGCCATCTGCATGCAGGGCAGGTGTCCTAATCCAAGCTGAGTGGTGCTGGTGGGAGATTCCATGGTCCTCACTCCCATTGTTTCTTTGAATGGAGCCTTTTAAAGGCAGGCTTCCCACCTTCCTTGAGAAAAGTGGCAGAGATTCCAGTCTTGCAGAGATTGTGGGGACTGATCATTTTGCCCTGACCCCCGTTTCTCTGCTGAATGTCATGACCTGCCTGGCTGGGGGAGCTTCAAGACCACTGCATCCTCCCAGTGGTGCTGCCTTGCCACAGAGTTGCAGCATTGCCCACCCTGCCTCTGCTGTTAGCATCTTTGGACTGGGGGTAGGGTAGCAAGGACAGGTGAGGTGCTGGGGACGCCCCTTGGAATCCCTTACCTGGCTGGCACTTGGCGTGCCCTCCCTTCACTGTGTCTCCTCTCACTCCCCTTGCAGGATCCTCAAGCAATACAACCACCCAAATATTGTCCGGCTCATTGGTGTCTGCACCCAGAAGCACCCCATTTACATTGTCATGGAGCTAGTTCAGGGTAAGCCCAGCATTTCATGGCTTTCCATAGCCTTCAGCCTTTCCGTTTTAAACTCCCCCAGCCGTTTATAGGGTGTGTCTGTTTTCTGGGTGGAAGATTTCTGCACTGCAGCTGGTGGAGGGAGAAACATCTGTCCATTACATTTGCCATTATGAGATATATGCAAGCTTCCTGGTTTTGCAGAGACCTCATGAGAACAGGCACTCTGTGTTGCCTTGAAGTCTAGAGGCATTTATTCACAAAGCTCCAGCGGCTCTACTTCTCTCCCTGCTGACTTCAGCAGAGCTTGGCTGCTGGATAAGTCCAGGGGCCCATTTAGTTTGACATCCTGTTCTCACTATGGCCACCCAGATGCCGATAGGAAGCCCACAAGCAGGACTTGAGGGTCATAGCCCTCTCCCCATCCTGCAGTTTCCGGCAATTGGTATTCAGAAACATTTCCTGCCCCTGATTCCAGGAGGGAATCTCAACCAGGAGCTCTCAGGCTGAGCTCCAGAGCCTCTGCTCCCTATCCTGCCATGGCTCCCAGCTTCCCTGGTGTGACACTGGCCAGCTGGCTCCCAGCCCAGCTTCCCTCTCTCATCTCACAGGGGGTGACTTCTTGTCTTTCCTGCGGAATGAGGGAGCTCAGCTCAGAGTCAAGGACCTGCTCAAGATGATGGAGAATGCGGCAGCAGGCATGGAGTACCTCGCCAGCAAGCACTGCATCCACCGGTGGGTACCCCTGCCCCTGTCTGTGCAAAGAGGGTTTCCTTCCTTCCTTCCTTCCTTCCTTCCTTCCTTCCTTCCTTCCTCCCTCCCTCCCTCCCTCCCTCCCTCCTTTCCTTCCTTCCTTTCTTCTCTGCTTTGGCAGAGACTGTGCTGTGGGGTTGGTGGCACTTCCAAACCTGAAGGGTGGAGCAGGCAGGTGGAGAGGCTTTTTCCCTGGGGAAGGAGGCAGAGTTCCTGCCTGTGGGCTTTTCCCATCTTTGAGCAAGGAGGAAATGAGCTGCCTGCAAATCTGCTACAATGTGCACAGGCTAGTTTACATGTACAGAACCCATCAGGTGATGTTTGGGGCTGGAGCCGGGAGTCTCTTGCCTAGGTAGTGGGAAACAGCTGGGAGTTAAGTTCCAGGCGTTGGTGTCTGGGAGGCTGCCCCCCTCCCTGAAGTCTTCGGTACCAGTCAGACATTTGGATCTGCTACCCCTTGCAGGGACCTGGCGGCCCGGAACTGTCTCGTGACAGAAAAGAACGCCCTGAAGATCAGTGACTTTGGGATGTCGCGGGAGCAGGAGGACGGCATTTACGCCTCCACTGGTGGCATGAAACAGATCCCTGTGAAGTGGACAGCCCCAGAGGCACTCAGTCACGGTACCCACAGCTGTAGCTCCAGGCCCACCTGCTTTAGTAGTACCCTCCAGCCTGGCTGGCAGGCAGGGAGCAGGGCCCCTTGTCCTCCAGACTCGTATACGGATACCCTAATGAGCTTTTGGATCATATCAGGTCCTAGCTACAGATGTGTAGCTTGCCAGAGGCAGGTATGGGTTCATGGAAACCCAGCCTAGAACCATGAATCTAGGACAGTGATGGGGAAACTTGGCCCTCCAGCTGCTTTGGGACTACAATTCCCATCATCCCTGACCACTGGTCCTGCTAGCTAGGGATTGTCGGAATCTCCGTTCGACCGAGCTGATAAAGCTCATCTTCCGGAATCGCCCTCCGACGTGATTAATGACCTGAGCCTTTGATGAGGCTCCAGGCACATTCCCATTCAGCAGAGAATCAAAGCAGCACGCAGAAGTGATAAGATTTATGGCTACATTGCTATGCTTTATTTTCTAGCTACACAGACAGAAAAAAATACATCCTCTCTCTGTGAGAGCAGAGAGCAACTGAACAACAAAGGAACAGGAAACCAGTAACATCACATCCGTCTCCCATCTCCCGTGAGACTTCCAACAGTATGGAATCTCTGGAATGTAAACAGGGATGATGGGAGTTGTAGTCCCAAAACAGCTGGAGGGCCAAGTCTGACCATCACTGATCTAGGAGAAGCCACCTCTCATGCCTGCTCTCTCGTCCTCATTCCTCAGGCCGGTACTCCTCAGAGAGTGATGTTTGGAGCTTTGGGATCTTGCTCTGGGAAGCCTTCAGCCTGGGAGCCACACCGTACCCCAACATGACCAACCATCAGACCCGCGAGGCTGTGGAGAAGGGTGAGAGCCTAGCAGGGTAGGCTAGGCAGGAGGTGGGGGGAAGCTGTGTCTCTGGTCTCCTTGGAGGGTCTGGGTTTCTACCAGCACCCTTCTTCTCTTGGCACTCGCTGAAGACATGCTATGGACTGGCACCAAGGAAGATGAGTGGTAAGTATTTTTTAATAAAACAGAAGGTGTGCATTGTGCCTCTCCTGCCTCTCAAAAGTTTGCTCTCTGAAGGTGAGCAAGAATGGGGGAAAGTACCAATGCACAGAAATGTTAATGGAAAAACTTTTGGCCTGCACTTAATCCACACATTGGGAGTCCCAGGAAATTGCAACCAAAACACATTATTAGTTCACCTGCCAGCTCCATCCTCCTGTGACCTGGCTGTGTCTTTTCCAATCCCAGGAATGCGCCTGAGCATCCCAGACTTGTGCCCTGAGGTGGTATACCAGCTCATGCAGAAATGCTGGGAATATGAGCCACAGAACCGGCCGAGCTTCAGCACCATTCACCAAGAGCTGGTTGTCATTCTGAAGAAGCAGCGGTGAGAGAACTAGCTCCAGAATCCACTGGGTGGCAGCAGGGGTGGCAACCATCTCCTGCACCAAGGCTGCACCCACTTGACCTCCTGCCGAGCCTGCAACCTTCTTGCAAAACCTTTGCTCTTGGCATCCCTTTCTGGCCGTGAATATCTTGTCTGCCCCCCTCCAGTGAGTCTTCCATCCAAAGTCAGCCAAATGGTCTCAGCTGCGCCGTGGCCAGTAGGCCATTTACCCCAGTGGTTCTCAAAGTGTGTGGTGTGCCACACTGGTGTGGCAGGAGAGGATGGCAAGTGTGGCAGGAAGATGCAAGGACAATCAGATAAATTAGTACATAATTATATTTTGGGGGTGATTTTTTTAAATAAAAAATTATGATTTACAGGTTTATACATTTCAATAATTTTACAGTCATTTTAACATTTCAAAACTTGACTTCCTTCCCCCTCTTTCTGCGGTTCCTTAAATGTATTTTTAATACCTTCTGCATATCCAAATTAACTTAATTTGTTCATTTATTCATCTATTTTAATGTTCTTATCTGTTTACAATTTATATGTAAATATTCAATAAACCATTTCTATTCTTTTATAAAAAGTTTGTTATCTTGATTTCTTATTTTTCTGGTACATTTCGCCATTTCTGCATATTCCATAAGTTTTTATATCCATTCTTCCTTTGCTGGGACTTCTACTTAGTTCCATTTTGGGGCAAGTAACATTCTTGCCACTGTAGTAGCATACATGAATAAGTTTCTATACAGTTTAGGTAGTTCTGTCCTTATAATTACCAAAAGAAAAGCTTCTGGGGTTTTTTTAAACAAATGTTATTTTAAACATCATTTTCAATTCATTATATATCATTTCCCAGTAAGCTTTAACCTTAATACAAGACCACCAAATATTATAAAAAGAACCTTCTTTCTCTTTACATTTCCAACATTTATTTGATTTAGATTTATGCATTTTACATATTTTCCCCATGAGGAGAAAGAAGTCCTGATATAAAGTAACAGGGTGGGAGGCTGAGGAAGGAAGTTGAGGAGCAAATTGCTAGAGATGGCATTTACTACTACTACTACTACTACTACAATGCTATCATTAATAGCAGCAGCAAACACTATTTTCGTGTGCAATAGTATTTGCTGCTGCTATTATTGGGAATTTAGTGAGAATGCCTCAAAAAGGGGCAGAAAATGGCAACTACAGTACAGCAGTGATGCTCTTCTGCCTTCAGAAGGCATGGATGACTGAGCAGCACCTGACCTCAGCCGTTTTAATATAAGGCAGAAGTGGAATAGCAGGCTGCTTCTGGGATCCATATAACATTCTGCAGCTGACTGGACAGTACCAAATATTGAGGGAGAGGGCTTTTAATTGCCACCGGTGCATATAGGGGAAGAGTGAGATGCTCCTCCCACCCTTGATCAGGGGATCCCTTGCTGCAATGGATATACAGTACTGTTAAAGCAACTCTACAGTATTTGCAAAGGGAAGGGGTTAAAGTGATAGAGCTGATGCCTAGAAAGAGGGGATTATGCTCAAAACCCAGTGAGTGCTGCTGCTACTACCTACCGGTACTTACCATCCCTGAAGATCACCTTCTTTCCAGAAATCACAGGTGGACAGGATGCTGCTGCCTTACACAGAACCCATCTGGCTCAGTATTGTCCACACTGACTGGCAGTGCCTGCTGCCCTCTGCCTGACAAGGCATCTGCCCTTCTCCTGTGCCCAGCCCAGCGGGCTTCTCAGGAGGGCTGAGGAGGAGGAAGGGAAGAGTCATTCCGTAGTCTGACAAGCAGGATTGCCATGGGCAACTAGTCTGACACTAGAGTCAGGGGTGGGGCAGTGGTCAATGTGTTGAACTACGAAACCAGAGAGTTCAAAACCCCCATTCAGCCATGAAGCTCAATGGGTAACCTTGGGCCATGATCTGCCTTTCAGCCCAACCTTCCTCACAAGATTGCTTTGGAAGGCGGGAGAACCATGCATGCCACTTTAAGCTCCTTAAAGAAAAAAAAAGGTGGGATTTAAACGCAATAAATAAATAGCTACCCACCCACGCCTGGTTCTGCCTGCACGCCTTGTCCCTTCTGCACATGCGGGGTGGGGGGAAGTCACAGGGCCCCAATTCTATGGGGAGAAACCCCCAAGCAAGAGGGTCTTGGGAGCGGAGCATCCAGAAGGCACCAGGAGGCTC